ACGTTCTTATTTTTTTTTTATGGGACAAGGGTGACACACGATCACACAGTCCACCTGATGGTAAGTGGTTGCTGCGGCCCATAGACATCTACATACATCCTCTCTTACAAATCAAAATGTAGATGCGTTGTCACCCGTGAGGACTAAGATGGAATGCCTCATTTCCAGTAAAAAGGGCCTCCAGTCACCTGCACTCACCAAGCGAAACGCAGAGGTAAACCTCTACTTCACGCTGGTTTTCTGTGAGGTCGTGGTACCACCCCGGTTCGAGCCGGCCCATCCGTGCGACAGCAAAAGCTGCCGCGTGGCTCTACCACTCTTATGAGTTGAACATGGTAAAACCACGATGCTTGACGACTCCGTGGCGCAGTGGCTTAGAGATGAGTTGCAGCACGGATCAAGTATTTGTATGTCCTACAAATAATTGTACCGGTTCTGGATGTTTGTCCTTGTGCAATTTATATTTGTAAATTGCCTCCACGATACAGGAAAAAATCCTAGTGTGTGGGTAACGTATTTTAAAATCAATTAAAAATCAAGATGCTCTGTCTGATGATCTGTCTTTATGGGTGTAACACGAATGGGTCCGTTCGACTTAAAATTCAATCAACACATGACAAATCTCGATTATTGAGTTCTGTCTACTTTATTTATTATTATTTTTCAGACAAAATTCACCATTCAACCCGAAGGTGACATGAATATAATCGAGTGCACAGGACTGGGTCTCATCAACAAGAACATCCCACCAGAGTGAACATTTTCAAGCCGAAAGACTGTGTTGTTTTTTAATTTTTGAGTTTAAAACATAAAGCAAAGCACGTTAACATATGCTATGTGGGGATTATTTTGCTAGCCATCGAAAGCTATGATCAAAATGAAATAGAATAGAATATTTTTTATTCAACATTTTGTTACTGTTGTTTCGAAAATAACCTCCGTCCCAGGAAGAACCGGCAAGCAACCCAGCTGGGCTTTTGCCTTCTTTTAGCCCGCTTCTATGACGCATATAAGACGATATAATGATATCTTATATCTACGCGAATACTACCTATTGAATAAAATTAATTCTACGAATTAATTCTAAAATTATTCTATTTAGATTCTATTTTATCTCTTTAAAAATTAAATTAAACGCGATAAAATGCGTAAAATTTGTTTTATAGGGCATTTATTGTGAATTTTATTTTCTTACATTGTTACATTTCACATCAGTTACTGCCTGTAGCAATGTATAGTGAACAGATTGACAGAAAACAAACCATCTCATATAAAATTTTAGAATCACAATATAGTTTGTGTCACTTCCATGAGCGACTCGATATTGACAGAATTCATTAAAACGAGATTGCCATATATAAAAACGAAAGAATATTTGTGGTTACGTCATAGTTTCTTGTAGGCGCAATAAGGATCTTATTTGTACATTTTTCAAATAACTAAGATAAGTAAGTTTTAAGTTTAACAATTTTAGATTTATAATCGGCTTGAAGCATATACTCACTTAGAGATTTTGTAAAAAACAATTGCATTACATAACATAATTTGAATTTTTTGCTTTTACTTTTATTTCTTTTAATGTCGCAGAAGTTGGTTTTCAATTCAATTTTCTTAAATTAGTTTTATTTCTGTTTAAAAATAAACTTCTAACGGAATTTATAGCTTACTTCCCATACGTTTTTTTGTAGAGAAAAAATTTCTTGGCATTTTGTAAAGTATTTCAAATTGGTTATTCCACAATCCGTAAAGTGTGATAGTTTGCCTTTTTGTTAGCTTTTATCTCATTCGAACTGCGTAGTTTCCTACGCAGTTCTGTATTAATTAATAGTTGACTGTATTAATTAATAATATAAAAACATTTTTATGTATGTGTCGATGTCAATTTTTGCGTTAGGTACATATTGATGTCAAAAATCATAAAAAATTATCTTACAACATCGAGTACTTTTCAAACCTACCCATTTCAATATGTTTGGACCTGTGCCTATAATAGACTGATAAACTATGTGTTATTTATATTAGCTAAGGTATATAATATTAATACATATAAGTATGGCAAAACTTGTATATATGCTTGAGTAAATGTTATATTATATAACCAAATTTTGGTATCAAACAATACAGACCTATGATTTTTTATTCTTACGAAGTACCCTTATCGTTACAGCCTACACCATCCACAACTGAAAATAGATTGTCTCACAGGGAGGATATTTGCCATAGTTACCTTGCTTGGCAGGCGGGCTGGCCGCGGCAGTATTTTTTTTTTTCATTATTACTTATTGGGAAAACGCTGCCCATCGCCTGATTTTATCTATGGCCTGGTTTGTTTCCCTCATTACCATTTCCTGACACCTACCTACTGGACAATATGAGAGAGTGGATTTTTAGAAGTTTTATATTAATATAACAAAGTTACCTACCGCTGCATAGAAGGCGCATAAAATTCATAGCATTTGGATATAATGAATCGCATCAGCTATACTCAAGGTCTAAGCGCTCGTTTCACAGAACGTATGTAACTCTGGTTCGATCCATAGATTATATAGTACAAATAGTTTTAACTCTGCGCCAGCACTAAGGAAATCTAATTTACCACGTGCATAGCGGTAAGGAAACGCATCTTAAGAGAACCGGCATATCTACATTTCGAGGACGTGTTTATCGTGGATCGGCCAACACGCATTAGCACAGTGTGGCGGATTAATAATAACGAATACATTTAATATTGTCCAAGTATTAAGCTGTAATGATGATGATGTGAAGTTTGTAGGCATGAGACCCATATATCAAAACGTAACTAATAACGTTATGTTATCAAATATCATATCATATCGATAAACCTAAGTACATAACCGTTATCACATATTCAACCAAAACCAACTAACCAACGTACGAAACGTTAACGGCGCCTCTTCACGTTGGCCAACACAGTGGCGAATGTGTTGGCAGAGTTATTGGCCAAGAAATTGTGATCGCGTCCACACGTTGGAAGGTCGTTCAGTTTGCTTCGGTTCAGGCCAATGTGCGGACGAATTTATTAAAATGATTATTGATGCGCTAACGGCTGCTGCGGTTTATTTATTCACAGCATACCACTATTTTTTTATTTAATTTTCACTATTATATTTATATTTAATATTTTTAATATAAATTTTTAATATTTCTTTATTAAACACTAACGTTATACAGATAAGTGAACTATATAAACATTAACACACCTAGGCATAGGTATAATTAACACTTTTACAAAAAAGGCCTGGAAAATATTCGAAGCCTGTCTATGAAACTGTTGTCAAAATGTATTAAACAAAACCTTTTTAAAAAGGGTTATTCTTATTATATAATTATAGAATAAACTTAATAATAATAATAATATGCATTTATTTTATTTTGTTGATATTTATGTATGTTTATCATTTTCATTTACAATTATATATTTATACAGCCCAACCAGATGAGTAAACTATATAGATGCCCCAAATAATAATAATAAATAATTTATTTCGTCAAACATTAAAGTTACATTATATGATCAGTGATCGAGGTCACCAAGTAAGCAAAATAATGCCTGTAACAGGTGACTTCGCTCTTCCATATCTAAAAATTACAGTATTATTAACGAAATAAAGTAACTAATAGGGAATAATAAAGACAGTAAAAACATGATTTTAGTATCCTGCTTTTTAATTTGATTTTAATATATATTATAGATTTTAAGATATTTAATAAATCAATTAATACATCAATAAATAAATTAATACACAATTAATCACTACAACGTGCATGTGTATAAGATAAGGCTGATCAAAAAGACATTTTATTTCTTGACGGCTCCGTGGCGTAGTGGCTTAGCAATGAGTTGCTGCCCTGGGGGCCGCGGGTTCGAATCCCGCGCGGAACAAGTATTTGTATAGCCTGCACATAATTTCTCCGGGTCTGGATGTTTGTCCTTATGCAATTTATGTTTCTAAACTGCCTCCACGATACAGGAGAAAATCCTAGTGTATAATAACATTTTTTTTAAAGGACTTGTGTTTTACAAACAATTTTCGGCTTGGTAGGGCTCTATAAAGCGAAAAGCTTTTTCATTGATCAATGTTACTGCCGTTATGTAGACACTAGTTACGATGCGTGCATATAAAATTTAAATCAGGTGCGTGCAATCACTCTGGGAGCTCGTAGCAAACTGAACGTGCGCCCAACGTGTGGACGCGACGGCCAATACTCTGCCACAACCCTTTGATCTTTTGCACAAAACCGACACCAGACGGATCTCGCGCCAACTTGTGGGCCATCGTTCCAATACGTACCAACGTAGCTTAAGCACCCGCTCTACACGATGGCCATCGTTGTTGGCCAACACGTTCGCCAGTGTGTTGGCCAACGTGAAGAGCCATACCAACACGGCCCAAAACCATCAAAACTAACCGATGTCCTTTGATATTCGTTGTTTCTCGTTCTAGCGACGGTATCATAAATACGTATGAAAGAGATGAAGCGAATATGGATTTCGTTGCGATGTTTTCGTAGTTATCATAAAACGGTGCACGTAGTGAAATATAATTAGTACATTTAACAATAAGGTCGAATTTTAAATGGTTAAAATTGCCTAATTTTTAAGTTTGTGTAGTTGTGAGTTGCTAAATTTAAATGATCTTTAGGTCAATAGACACAAGCCTTCGATTTTTATGACCTTATTATATTTGGTTCAGGCAACTGTTGTTTATATTTTTTATGTTTTGGTTGGAAAGTTTAGAATTTGAATTTTTTTCAAAACGCAACAATTACGCACTTGGCCTTGCGGGCGCGTGTCGTTCACTAGGATAATAATATCTTTAAAATTATTAATTTTCAACGTTGGGTTTGTGCATTTATTTGCAATATTTGTGTGTATTTTGTAAGTAGTTTTAATTCAGACAATTAAAGTGAAAATATAGCATAGTATAGTTTAAGTTGATTTAGACTCTTTTAATCATTTTTATAAATAGACTTTCAAAATGTCACGTAAGGCTAGTGAAATATGGTCTCATTTTGATAAAAAAGACAACTCCGTGTACCTTGCTGTTTGTAAATATTGTCAATTAACATTGTCGTATAAATCTACTACAGGCAACCTAAGTTCTCATTTAAAGAGATCGCATACTTCAATTTATTTGGCGCAAAGAACCACTACTTCAGGAACTGTTAATGAACCTACACATCAAACGACGACTATTGAACAAAATTTGGTACTTCCGAGTACATCTGCCATAGGGAATGCATCGGAACCGACTATATCTTCCACCGCAGCCAAATCAGCGGCTAGTACAGATCAGGTAAACCTGCGGTTAATAGAGTTGCCTCAAGTGTCACGCAAAAGGCAAAAAACAATGCAGAACTATATTATTAAAAAAATGACTCCAGATGAAAAAAAAAGAGTTGATCGTGATCTATTGGAATTATTTATTACCGACTATCAGCCGTTTCGATTAGTAGAAGATGAAGGATTCAAAAATTTTATCAAGCATATTCCCGGGTACACGTTGTCCTTTGTAGCTTTGTATCAACAAACATTAAGCAGCGTCAGAGAAATAGTTTCTCGGGACGCAAAGTCAGTGTGCTTGACAACAGACCTTTGGACCTCGTCACAGACCGAAAGTTATATTGGCGTAACAGCGCACTAAATTGATGACAATTTTGAGCCGCAAAAATACTGCTAGGGTGCAAAAGCTTTAATGAAAGCCATACTAGCGCTAATCTAACGAAAGCGTTAAAAAATGTGACTGATGAGTGGAATTTGACTAAAAAGGTTAATTTCGCTATTTCAGATAACGCTAGAAATATTGTAAAAGCAATTGAAACCGATTTAGGATGGAAACATTACGGGTGTTTTGCACATTCACTCAATTTAATAGTTCAGTCGGCACTAAGGCCAATAGAACTATTAGTTGAAAATATAAAAAAATAGTGGCTCACTTTAAACGAAGCACTACTGCTATGCTTCTTGGATATCAATTGAAAAACATGACGGAATGTGGTGAACCGAAACGTTTAATTCAGCAAGTGCCAACAAGATGGAACTCCACATTTTTCATGTTACGCCGATTCCTTTTACTACAAGAGGCGTTGAAACACTGCATGGCCCTTATTGAGAGAGACTGGCCTAATATTAACACAATGGAATGGGAGTTAATGGGGGAAGTGTGTACAGTCTTACAGCCTTTTGAAGAAGTCACTTCTTCTATCAGCGGTGATGAATATCTGACAGGAAGTATGGTCATAGTCATGACAAACTGTCTCACAGAAATATGTGATGATTTTCTAAACAAAGAAGAGTTCGCGCTATTTAATCCCACAACAAAGGAAATCGTCACTTCTTTAAAAAATGGATTGAAAGAAGAAGATTTGTTGGCGTAGAGCACAGTAAAACTTTTGGGCTCTGTACTTTGTTAGACCCACGATTTAAATTATTACTTTTTAAAAATGAATACGCAGTTACAGACTTAAAACGACATGTGCACCAAGAGGCGTTGCCTATTTTGTATTTTGTGGAATTCGAATTTAAAACTTTTCTGCTAGTCCTAAGCCTAGTTAAGCATGAAGGAAAGTCGCCAATTAAATAAATAAACTATCTAAAATAATTTCCTAATATATACATAAAATTATGTTTACTTCTTATGAATACAGTTTAATTATAGACTGAAATCAATATAAACTAGATACAAAATCCTTTGCAAAAGTTCTCTAAAACTGTCGCCAATTGTTTTGACGTAATTCTAGTTGAAATAAATTAACATTAATGCAAATTCAGCCTTACGACGGCTCCGTGGCGCAGGGGCTTAGCAATCAGTTGTTGCGTTGGGGGCCGCGGGTTCGAATCCCGCACGGAACAAGTGTTTGTATGGCCTACAAATAATTGTTCCAGGTCTGGATGTTTGTCCTTCTGCAATTTATGTTTGTAAACTGCCTCCACGACACAGGAGAAAATCCTAGTGTGGGGGTAACGTTTTTTAAAAAAATAACCAAAATAACCAAATTGCATTGCCTAAAGTTGTATTCACAAAGCTATGTACAAATTAAGAGATATTGGGACGTATATAGGCTGCAACTTTGCTTTTTTCTTATATACCACAGTGCATCATCTTCTTCGATCTTAAACTGAGAAACTACTGGTTTAAGTTATTAATTAAGTAATTATCTACCTAAGTTTATTTTAATTAAACCAAAGTTTTATATAATATGAACAAAAATTCATTTGAATTAAAATTTACAAATTGTTATTTTAAATAAACTAAATAATGACATTTAGCGGCTCTGTGGCGCAGTAGCATAGCGATTGAATTACAACGCTAAAAATCGCGGGTTCGAATCCCGCACGGAACAAGTATTTGTATAGCCTACAAATAATTGTTTCGGGTCTGGATGTTTGTCCTTGTGCAATTTATGTATGTAAACTGCCCCAACAATACGGGAGAAAATTCTAATGTAGAGGTTACCTTTTAAAAAAATACGAAATTTTATTTTGGTTTATGCCATCTAGCATCTACTCTACGTACCGCCTTGAGAGTCAAACAATTTTTGTTCGATAAAATTACTTCACCTATAGAATGTACTAGATGGCGCTATTACTCAAATGCGATCACTCTTTGTAAATTAAATACTTGTACCTTGGTAACTGTTTTAAATAAAATTAATATAAGATTAGTATTTGAACGAAATATCGTTGTGTAATTGTATTACTATATACTTTATGGTATGTAATGATCGACCGAATGACCCGGTACGTAATGTTTACCCTCACCACTTTTCGTCACACTAAAAGGTCAGAATTTCAAAGACCTCCCGTAAAAGCTTCCACTTCAAAAAACTGCAGTTGCCAACCCGCTTGCCAAGCGTGGCAACTATGGCAAATATTCCCCCTATGATGCAATCTATGGGTATAATATCTCCTTATGTTCAGCGGTGGACTTTAATAGGCTGTAACGGTAACGGTATAATTTATTACTGCATAACAATGAATTTACAGAAATTATATATTAACATGATGTCTAAATATTACATCTAAGATAATATTATAATTTAGAACCTCTGAAATCTAAACTAAAATAATCTAAGTAATTCGTAAAATAAATGTTGCACTGGTTCTACAGTTTGCGGTTGTTTTGGTTGTCGTTTGCGCATTCATTAGGAAAACATTACTACTGATATCGATATTTGAAAACGGTTTTCAATAACGATATGAAAACTAAATATCGGTTATGTAACCGTTGCAGCTATAAACTGAAAACGCCCATGCTTAGAAGTTTGCCAATAAGCATTGGCATGGCACAGCGCAGCGTGACGTATTATTAATTATTATATAATATTGTGCATCTCTTGAATCCGTTTTAAACAGTCTTACAGCATACTGCAGATTATTCCAGCAACCAGCACAGGAAGAGAGATTAGTGTTGCCGATCGATAGTCGACTATCGGTGATTAATCGTTAGTCTATCGATAGCCAACCAATCGTAAGACTATCGATCGGCCTATCGATACTATCGATAGCACATAACTAGGCAATACCATCGATTGAATGCAATACTATCGATAGTATTGTAGTTCGTTAATAACAAACTATCAATACTGTCGATTTTATTTTATTTGCAACATAAATATGATGCAAGGCTATTATTATTACGCAAGGAAAACTATTTGATATTATTTATTCCTATATCCTCATAGTTGATAGTGGTTGACTATTATACCTGAAAATTATAAACAATACTATTGCAAATTGTTAAACTATCGATAGTATCGATAGTCCAAAACAATCGATAGTATCGTTGCAAATAAAATCGAGAGTATCGATACAATCGATGGATTGTTATTAACGAACTGCAATACTATCGATAGTATCGATAGCACAGAACACAATTACTCTTTATCAAGAGAAGAACGCCAACTTCAAACTAAAAAACGGAAACACGTGTTTGTGTGTATACGAAAAGCGCTACGGTGGACGCCCATATAAAACTTTTTAGCGGGAATTACAAACCTTTGTATTCTGTTACTTTAAACTTTTTATTTAAGGCTTATTCGAGTAATTTTGGCTCAATTCTCACAAACCTATGGGGTAAATTCCTATATATTTGAGAGGTTGCACCAAAATTACTCGAATATAATTTAGATTAGTATGTGGGATAAAATAAAACTATAAATAAGTATAGTTATGTAATTTTATTTTCTGGAAGACAGATTGTTTTATAAACTACACATTATTATTGATGTTTTTTATTGCTTTTGCACATAATATTTCCACGCACGTTACTAATATATAACACATGTTATTATGAGAGAGTTATTCTTCACAGAACATTAATGTAAATTTAAATCAGCAAAATTCTCATGATGAAAATTTAACTCAGCCCAAATACGTGATAAACAGATACAATTCAAGTCAATATACTAATAATCCCTACAAATAACGGTCAATAAATTCGAAATGTTTATAGCCTTACCACAATATTGTCATAAGTTTTTCTTTTCCTATCATAGGAAACCTGCAGACAGTGATCAGATGATTTTGTGCTTTTTATTTGCACAACACTTAACTTACTTTCGATGATGATCACAAAGCGTGCATAAAACTTTGAAATAATGAATTTTTTTTAAGCACTCAATTGTTGATATTTATTACACAAATAATATTATAATAATGAATTCATTTATAGTCAATATATTATACAGAATTAACATTTCACAAAAAATCTTTACTGTACATTCACGACGATATTATGACTATATATTCGCGTACATACGAAAATGAAGTCCATCTAACTGAATTTAAGCAAAAATGAATAATAAATATTGCCAACTAAACCTTTGAAATAAATTTCAGAAAATATTTTCAATATGAAAGACGTTGACAATCAAATGTCATTTTTTCTTCTCTTAATTCATGGCTTCTTTTGATAGAATTCTGCTAATATTTAATTTAAATCAATTAATAGGTAAACTAATTCTGCGAATCTCAGAGTATTATGTATGTAATTATACTTTAAAGAGCAAACCAATAAAAGTTTAAAACCGAATTAATATTTTTATTTTCTTCCCATATAATATGGATTTTTTATCTAATTTTTAAAATGGCAATCTAAAACAACATTAAAGCAAGAGACAGCGATATTTTATCTCGCTTTATTTTTACAAGTCCAACACGCATATTGACAAAATCATGAGTGTGTGCAGATTTTTCAGCTATCATACAAAGTTGCCTCACCCTGATCGATAGTATTGCACTCACTCGATATCGATTGCATTGATAGGGTACATGATTTTCGATGTAAACCACAGAACACTATTACTCCTACGGGGAGATGTAAACTATCGGATAGTTTTAATATCGATATTTTGATTGAAAGTGAACCTAGATTTTCAGCCGATTGTATAAATAAATTATTAAATCTGAATATGGGATAATAAAATTATCAAAAAGCCACTCAGACAGCGACAACGCCCCACCCTCCCCCACCGAAGCGGGAGAGCGAACGATCATCGAGGGCTGGCAGCGAACCGCTGCCGCCCGCCTCACGCTCAGGGCGCCGCGCCACTTCTCATCAACGCGGCTGGATAGATCTCACATAGTGTGAAGGTCTCGTGAAGAACTTACTATAGAAATGATCCTATGAAGTAAGGTCTTGCCAATCGTCACGCGGCACACGGACCTCATTACATCAGCAAGAATCTCTACGTCGCGATGCAGATTATATTTAAAATGCTACAGCGCCACCTACTGACAGGACATTTAGATTTAAAATAATGTTGAAAGCGACATCTCTTCTGGCATGACAGAATACTTGCTGTATATAAATCTAGCGACATCTATCAACAATGTATAAGAACTAACAAAGCCTAATAATATAACAATAGGTTGCGCATGCGCACGCGTCATTGCTAATGTTAATTTCATGATTTGCTACATAACATGATACAAAAGTAAAAAATAATAATACATAGAGATAATTTAACCCGTGGGGGATAAAAATTAGGAATGTAATTCATTTTTATTCATCCTATTATATTTACAGTTATTGTTACTATCAAAGCATATAGGTACCTAGTGCTTAAATATTGGCAATCGGTAATTGTAAGACTTCCTTCCCAATGACTCGCATAAATCTAATACCTACATATCGCACCTTCATTTTGAAACCGTTACTAAACGAAATTTTCACGAAATTGAGATAATAACATCATCTTAATTAAATCGACAAAATCTACAGAATGAATTGGACAGGTTTATTTATATCCCAATATTTTGGTAGATAGCGTTAAATTAAAACGCTACTAAACTGAAATTTAAAACATAACTACAGACGAAACCGTTACTACACCAATTATAGCTTGTCCCTTTTGGAGTCGACATACAATTTTAT